TATGAACAGGAATAAGGACAGGCACGCCTGCAGAGTGAAAGTGGCTGTGCATCTGCCTCGGAGCTACATAACCAAAGAGAAATATTGCAAACTTGTACCATGAGAACTGATGTAGTAAGTAACTTCCCCCCTCCCTGATGAATCGGCACCCTTGTCATGCTCACAAAGCTGGACTGTCAGCGGGCTTTCACACTGATATTGTTAGTATTCAGACCATTAGACCAAGCCTATAGACATGGAAATGAAGTGGGGAGAGAGAGGGAAAGAAAGAGAGAGAGATGGAGTAGGCTGTGTTGGCATGGCTTGGCCTCCGTCCAACACACACACACTCACACTCATACACACAATCTCAAATACACAAACATGGCCAGGATATCGTCCAAGGTTTGTCCAGATGGGATATTACTCAGATGTACAGCTTTATTCAAAGGGCTCATCAGCTCTGACAACACTGTCAGGTCAACTAAAGGCCACCACCAGCCTATGCTAAGAAAACAACCAGGACAGTATAATTACAGATGCCACCGAATCAAAAAGTTTTCAGAGAAGTACTTGTAAGTGAGGGATTTTCCTAATTTGTTATTCATGGGTTCAAAAAGTTGCATCTTGGCTGAAAGGGCCCGCTGACTCTTGTATTCATTGAGAGATGGACGATGGACTCATTTTCAATACATTTAAAACTAAACACACACCCAAGCCCCGAGGAAATGGGATCCAATTAATTACAAAAGAAGTTAATTGACCATTTGTGAAGTCCCGACCCCCGTAGTTACTGTTCATGCACAGTACATATGCAGTTTTCACTGATTATGGTGACAGATTCACCAACAGCAATTCTTAGTAATTTTTGAAACAATAATAAACAATGGGTTCTTGATTTCACAGGAGGCAGACAAAAACAACTTCTCAATTCTGAAATTGGCTATTTACATTAGATCCATGAGTTGATTGAAAACTCCTTGTCCAGCTGACTAGCTCACGCTAAAAGACTGATGTGAAGTAGCTTTGCTTTTGTACCGCAGAGTAGAACACGTTAGCTCGAGTTAGCTCTTGGCAAATGTACTGTTATTATGTTCTGACAGACCCCTGTTTGGATGTTTAGCTTACAGAGAAAAAAAAGTGGACAAGTAGCACAGCAGTTACAATTGTTGTTTATTATTTGTATGTTCAAACTGTATGTCTCACTCTCCTCATTAGAAGACAAAAGTCTTTGAAGATGGGGGCTATGTGTGCAACACCATCTGCTGAAGTGTTTACTACCCCAAATCAGGACAGAGTCGCTAACATTACAATAAATTCTGTATCCCACACATGGGGAAAATACTAGACAGTAGATGTGCCAGTCCTGAAGGGTTTTTTTTCTAACGTAATCTGTAATCTCAAAAAATGATGTAGTTAGTTAATGATATGATGCTTAGCTTTGGAAGTAGACCTAATGCTACACTACTGTTACTACCAAATGCACTTGCATTTGAAATGGATATAATTGGAGACACAACGCTCCAAATTCTTAGGATAGCAAGTATCACCATATCCATGTGCACATCTTATAAACATGTGGGTCCAAAGCTTTGCAGTCCTTCTGCAAAAAACAGTTGCCAAGCTATGATTTGGACAGTCGCTGTTCAGGGGAAGGGTTAAGCAAACAGTCAATTGGAATCCATTTTGTTTGTGTCCACACAAACTGAGAAAAAGTGGTTTAACACGTAACGTTTGCTATCGAGCTGCAATCTTCGTTGTTTTATATAGTTTCAGTTTTTTAATGTTGGCTACACGATTTACATGCTTTGGTTTCTTCAATGAAACAACAGTACAAAAGACCAAAAGATGTCTATGAAGTGGACCCAATGCTATACCAGTGTAGACCAGAAAGTCTAGACTGAGGCCTGGTTTAGGTTCGTTCCAGTCTAACTCAATGAGACTTTGCGACGTCAGGCCAGAATAACAACAGAATAATCATACTTGCAGGACCTCCATCTCACTCTTTAATGACACACTTCATATGTAAAACCCTGTCCTAAAAACATCGCCCCAAATACTCTCATTGTGTTCTCATAACCCAGATCTAATTTGGCGTTATTTCAAAAACAGGTCTCAGCCTCCATTTCATACTGACTATTTTCTGAGTACTTTGAAGAAGCTGACCCTCTCGAAACCTGAAGACTAAAACAAGACTAAAGTACTGTAAAAGAAATTTGTACTTTCTCTTTCTCTCTGTCTCTCTCTATACTCAAGCTTTCCACAGTCTGGAGCCAAGTACTTAAAGTCAGAGCAGAGTGTTGGTTTTGGCCTGTGCTTAGACAAGAAAGAACTGGATGATGGGGGGCGTCAGACAGAGAGACAGACAGAAAACCTGACGGACAGACAGATAGAAAGAAAGTAGGCCGGGGCCACTTGGCGTTGACTGTTTTTTTAGGGTGCGCTTTTTTTTGTGACTGAGAGCAAGAAGACTCATTTATGTAACTACAAAAAACAGATAGCAAGCCGTCCTGTTTTCAAATACTATTACAAGGCCTGATTAATTTTGGTATAAAGAAAAAAGTCAGAGAAAGTATGTATGCACATGTATTTCTTGAATGAATATTGTTAATTTAGCTTAATTGATATTAATCCATAATCAATCCACTAACAGTCCACCACACTAATATTTTATAAAGCCTTCCAATATAGTGCTTTAATAATCGGGACTGTTTTCTCCGCATAAGACAAGGTCATTTCTATGAATAACATTGGAACAAGCCAAAATAATAAATCAACATACTCAATTAACTACCATGGAAAGCTCAGCCCTAAAGCCCCATTGATTAGTTCAGTAGGTTTACACTCAGAATATCTAATTAAGTTAATCTATAAACAAATTATCAATCAGTTAATTAAGGAGGACCATTCCTCCCATTTTAAAATCATAATTTTGGGTTATTACATTCACAGTCTGAAGAACTTAAAATCAGGTTTTCCCTATTACGAAATGCAGCAGCTTTTATATCCTTAAATTTTAAGACTGAACAGAAACTAAACTGCTCTCCAGTTATTAACTTACCAATCTCAGCGCTGCAGAATAGCTGCTGTGGGTGTGCTGGGTGGCAGCTACATCCCTCCACAACTTCCTCCATGCCTGCACCAAGCAAAAGGAGCACCCAGAGCCCTAGACACGCACTCCGCTCCTGGGACATGGCCATGATGACTCTGGCTGCCTCTGACCGCTCCACCACTCGATAAGCACTCGGCAACCTCTTCTGATCCTGTTAAGTTCCGCGGGAAAGCAATTCAGGCCGGCAGTCAGCAACGCGAGGAAGGATAAGACAGTAGAGTTTGAGTAGTCAGATGAGCTCTGCTGAGCTGAAAGGCAGCTGTGGATAGAAATGTTCATAAGTTTAAAGTACACCTCTGAATTCAAGCTGGAGCAAATAACTTGAGTTGGAGGCAAGGCTGCTGCTGCTGCCACTGCTCTCTCTCTCTCTCTCCCTCTCTGTAGACAACACACAGAGAAACTTACAATAGTTGGATCCCCTCACACTCTGGTCTTGAATGCTGAGAGGGTCGCACACAGGGAGCCTCTTATGTACTCAACAACTTAGGGACAGCCTCCTCAAACGCAGAAAAAAAACGACCATCCTTTGCCTCTTCTTGTACCCTTCTTTTGATGTCCTCCCTCTC